CAGCACTGTTTTCTGTTTATTTCAGATTGTTTAAGTGTCTTTGATATGTTTGACTATTGGGTGTGGCAGGTTTTAGAATCTTAAGTTGTAGTACAGGTTCCTGAACAAGAAAGAGAATGAAAGGTGATGTGGCTTGACTACTGGAATGTGTAGAATGTGAAGTTGTGAGAGGTATTATAGTCTGCCCGAGGCTGCTCTTAGTAATGCACCTTCTTGTTAAAAGCCCTATTATTATTGGAAATTTATTTTGGAAACTATGAAAGAAGGAGTTTGACAGGAAAGTAGAATAAACCACTTTGTCTCATATTTCCTTTCTACATAGGCACTTTGAAGAGATACCTTAAATATTGTGAAGTCTTAATTATCCTGGGATAGATTACCATTATCACAAATTTGAGTTAAATGTACATAGCATTGCACTAGGTATGATGCAGAGAAAATTAGCAAACAAGATCCTTATCTTTTTGGAGCTTACAAAGAGTTGATATCCTAGCATGCAGGTCAGCAAATCGCAAACTCATTTTTCCACACATTCTGTAAACAGCCCCTCCCTTTCAGTGTCCTCTATCTTTAAGGGCCTCTCTATCCTTCAGCTGGAGCCGCACATTCATCTTGAGTCCTCATGTTCTTGCAGTCTCCACAAAGAATCTATCAACGAGAGCTATCTCTTCTGTCTCCAAAATTGCTTTTGAATGTGTTTGTTTCCTTCCCCCATTCTCATAGCCATTGCCCTGTTTAGGCCCTTTTTATCTTCCAGTTCAATTCTTAGGAGAGCTGATTTCCCCCTTTCAGGCTTTGCATTTTCCACTCCATCCTCCCTACTGCTCTCAATCTGTTTCTTTAAGGACAGATCTGATCATTTCATCCTCTGGCTTAAAAACCTTCGATGGGTCCACATTATGTTTAAGGGATAAAGCCTAAACTCCTTAGCCTGTCATGCAAGGGTTTCATGGTCTGGCTCCACTCCACTCATTTTCTGCCACAATTTTCCTCCACCCCCACTCTCTGTTGCCAGACTCACATACACATTTGACGCTTGTCCCACCAGCTCCTTCATTGTTCCCTGAGCTTGCTTTCTCTTTGTGCTTTTGCTCAGACTGTTCTGTGCTGGAGTTTATATGGAGGAACTGAGGAAACCAAGATTTTATAAAGAATACTCGACGAAAGAGGATAGAAGAAACAAACCATGTGCATGGAACCAGGCAATTGGTGTAACCATTATAAAAGAGGTCAGATTAGTAACTGCAGACTACTTTCCCAGACCAGCCAGGAGGAAGGACTTGGTTCTACAAAGTACTGGAGCCAGTGCAGTGGTGAAACTGGTTTGTGGCAGTTTTAAGTGAATGCCTCCTTCCTGTTAATATAGTCAAGAGCACGTTCTTATTTTATAGCTGGAGGATAGAGGAAAAGAGCTATAGTAGATTCCTGGTGGAGTAATTAAGTTCAAGAAAACCCATTACCCTCATCTACCTATTGTTCCTGCCTTATTTCACTTTCCAAGGGAATCGAGAACAGATAGGAACCCACAATATTAAGGATCTTCAAGAGAAGAGAGTCAAAGAGTCCAGAGAGCCCGGCCGGTGTGGCTCAGTGGTTGAGCATCAACCCACCAAGAGCAGAAAATGACTATTTTCAGCTTGGGGTCTGTCCTTCAGTAGGTGTGTCGGTAGATAAATGGGCTTATGAAAGAAACACATATCATATTGCTTTATTGCTTTTTGCTGGTGTTTGTGTGTGCTTTCCCCACAAAAATGATATCATACTTACTGCCTCTCGTTTGTCAAATTTTGCCTTTTAGATTCTCCAATACACCTTGCAGATCTTTTCATGTTAGTACATACAGATGCTTTATCACATTTTTCCGTTTCTACTACATGGTTTCATCTTTAGTGCAGTGCTAGCATGACTTTTTCCTCTTTTGGTAGTCTCATAGACAATTAGAAGGTAAAAGAGAAAAATATTACAGCAACCAAGTATTGATTCTGATTCCAATTACATAAAGAATAAGCTTGCAGTTGTTGGCTCTGGGAGGAATGTTTTCCTTAAAAATTAGAATGTTGGACCCAGTTCAAAGGACATCACTGACATTAACACCCTCCCTTTCCTCTACCCGTACCCCCCCCCCCCCAATTACTGGCATTCCTGGAAATTAAATGTAACCAGGGATCTTTGTGGTATGTATACATCTGGTTTTTCCTTTTCCATATGCTTAAGTCCTCCCTTCTCAATTGCTTCTGTTTAGCACTTAATTTAAATTCCCAAATTAATTCAAGAAGCAAATTTGAAATCAGTAAAATGAGAGGATTAAATAATCTTTTAGTGCTCTTACACCTCTAGGATTTAAGTTAGAGACAAAAAGATAGGTTGCTAACTTATCTTTTAGCAACTGAGTCAGAGTGAAAGGGTGGTTCTAAGATGTTGGCACTTATTGTATGCTTTGTTTAAAGATTTAAGAGGTACCATCATATACCAGGAGCAAAGGGTTAGGAGTCAGGAATTGAGGGAATCGGTCCCAGCCCATCGCTGACTCTCTGTGTGATTGCAGGTCACTCTTTGCTCTTAAATTTTCCGTCTGTAACATGTAATAGATTACTTCTGGCTCTTAACCAGGGATGTTTTGTAACAAAATAAAGATAATCACTGCCAGTTATTTTGTGCTCTTCGGTAAAGATTCTCCATTAATTAATGACAGCAGTAGGGTGGTTCTTGCATTATTGAAGAAAGTTCTTGAGAGTGAGAGAAGTACCCAGAATAGATTATGTAAAGTTTTTATTATTTCTCTTAGGCCAATGAAGAGTGTTCTGTGTTAGGTAGAACAATGCTGAAAACTAATAGAAAAGTAAAAAGTTTGTAAAACTGTAGGAGCATATGATACTGGCCATAGTTCTTTCCAGCTGTAATTTTCTGAGTCATTGGGTACCTTTTACAAAAGTTAGAAAACTGTCTTTTAGTTTAGATTTTTTTGTTTGTTTTGTTTTTGTATATTTGTATTTTACGTTGTTCAAATATTCTCCACGAGTTCTGTCATTTAGATAACCTTGGACTAGAAGTTCATATGTAAAAGTTATCACTTTATTTGGATTCTAACCCTTCTTGTAGACTTACTGTATCAGGTTCTCTTCCTGAATTCTACTTTTCACTTTGTGATTGGTTGCTTTTTGTTATAAGAAACATCTAAGAGACTCTTAACCTCCTGGGAAAATACCTGTTGTTTTTTTGGTTGATAAAAAATACCAGTAAACTTTCTCTTTAAGGGAAAAAAACCAATTATAGAAAAGGAGATATTTCTTTGAGGGAAGAGTTTAAAGAAATTTATTCTTTTCTCAATGCACTGCTTTCCAAATTGACGTCACCCCAGGGGGTGTGAGAATTCTTTCAGAGTTTAATGTCCAGCTGGTGAGCAAAGCTGACACTTGGTGGCATGAAGTCCAGCAGGGTTGCTGTGTCTGTTCTGCATCTGGAGGCTGTTCTGTTATGATGTGAAAAATTAAGATTACAATTTTTGAAGTATATATTTCACAATCAAAGTATTTATAAACACATATGAAACTTGTTCGCTGTATAACCTATGAGAAATGGAATGGTCATGTTTATAACTCAGTAGGTAAACTGCTCTGGAATGCTTCTGACCAGTCTCAGCCGAGGCGAGACACTCTGAACTGACTGGGTAAGGAAGGATCTGTTTCCTTATTCAGCAGTTTCATGTGAATTTAAAAAGATGGCTGGTGTTTGGTTTGATTTCCAATTTAAGTTTATTATGCTTCATATGCCAGTAGAACATGTTTTCTTTCTACCTGTAGATTTAGTAGAATTGGCCTTGGAGTATGGCTTTGCAGGTAAAAAAAAAAGTTACTTTTTTTAAGCTCCTCTTGAACTTTAGAATTCAAATCAGTCAAATAAATAACCAAGAAGGGCAATTAGAGAGGATATTCTGTTGTTTTTCTTTTCTTTACTTGAAAACTTAAGCTGAATTGAAGCTTTGTACTTAAAAAAAAAATACTATTGAAATAACAGCAGTTTAATAGCATCATAGAAAATTTGGAAAATGGAGAGGGGAATGAACTGTAACAGATAGGATTTGTGCCGGGTCTTGAGGAATACATCATTCTTGATGTATTCCAGACTTCCCTTAGGACATTCTTTGTTGTGTGAGTGTTGTGTTTTATATGTTGTATGCCTGCGTGGGTCATCCTGCCTTGGGGGAAAGAGTTGTGCATTTATTCTCTAATTACAATATATTTTAACAGGATTTGGATGAGTCACATCACTTGGCCTTGCCTTAATTTCTTCTTCTGTTAAATGATAATGGCTATATAATTTGAGATTTATTTAATCTAGTGGAGGCAAAGCTTTGAAATTACAGAGATGACTTTCACTGTGAATGAATTTAAGATAGGAAGATAGCATTGCCACATTAGTGCAATCTTCTACCTTTAAGAATGGAATCACATTTTTTTTTTGGCATAAAAATAATGACTAGGCCCCCAAGATAGTTTGAGTGCCTAATGCATGTTCTAGCTGGCAGTAATCTTAACCATCTTGCAGTTCAGCATCTGGTTTATACATGAGACCCTTATAATTAGCCAGTAGTACTTCTCGGCCTTGTCCTTCAGGAAAATTTATAGTATACCTCAGGTGGTGTCAGATAGCAGGCAGAAGACTAAATAGCTAGCTCTCCTAATTTAGAAAAATTGTGTCCCTGAGACCAATATTGTTAAAATATTATTTTAAAAAAATGGGTTTCCCTCTTCATTTGAAATGATTGATAACTTTACTGTCAGAACAACCTAAGAGGCTTAAGCTTCATGGGTGTGGTTTTAGAGTCTTAGGAAATCCGGGAAGAGCTCGTCTTCAGAGGGGATAGGCTGTGGGGTGTTCTGGAGTGTTATGCAAGGAAGAATTATTAGGCCAGGTGCCTTTCATGTTTCTATCTGCCAGAGTGAAAAACTGTAGAGGCAAGAGTTTGTCTCAGTAAAAGTTCTCATATGTTCTCTTCCCAGGAAAAAAATGACTTTTTAATACATGCAAGAGTCCACATACTTTGTAGGCAATCAATATTAACAAAAGGTGAGTTTGTTTTTGATTAGTTACAAGTTGGTACACACTCCTATTGCTGTGTTCTGCTTAAACCATAATTATCAGAGAAACCTTGTTACACAGGATTTTTTGAAATGAAGCCTGTTAATTACATCAGACCCTTTGGTTTTGTGTGGAACTATTATCATGGTATGAATTGAGAGCTGATTGTGCAACCTACTTATTTGGAAAGTTCTTTACCTCAACTTTTGCTTCAAATCCATGACTTCTAATGGAAAGGGCATGGTGCGAGGAGGCAACAGATTTCCGAGCTGAACTCTTTTCCTTAAAAATCCCTTAGTGATCAAATTGCCTTGTATGAGTAGATTCCCATCAAAGGTTTGGGATTGGTGAGTTTCAGGACATCTTATCTAAACATTCTTTTAGGGATCAGTCTGTGCTGGTTAGACCCATAGAAATCAAAATTATCAACAATGATGACAATGTAATTAGCCACATCTGTCAGCAGAGCATAATCAGCTGTATCTATCTGAGGCTGCTGAAAAGTCCACTGGGGTAAAATTCTGGCTCTCCCCTTGACTCACATTAATGACCCGAAAGATTTTGGACTGAACTCTGTAAATGGGATTGAATCTAACCTGCAATTGACATCGTACCTGTAGGTAGAAATTGTACCAGGTTAGGAAACTAGATCAAAACCAAACTCACCTTACAGCTAGTATAAATTATGGTATAGGAAGCAATGGGCAGTAAGACGTTTTGGTTACTAGGACCCTCAAAGGAAGCTTCAATAAGTGCTTGTTGCATCCAGGCTTTTAAAAATTGTTACAGTAGGTTTTATGTAAATTGTTCATGCTAAATATTTGCATTATGTATTCCTATTTCTTTGTACTTCCCATTTGATGAAGTTTCCAAATCGTGGTTTGCTGGAGGGGGGAAAAAACCCCGAAACCCAAACCGCATAGAACAAATTGAATTACAAACCTGGTGTGGTCCTTTAACTCAATTACATCTAATTTGTGTTATTTCAGTCATCCTGGGTGGCAGCTGTTCTGCGTGAATGCCCACAAACATTTTCAGTGTGAGACTTGGTCCTGATTATAACTCCTTAAGATTGGTAGTAGGACATTTCTATTTTAATGGGCAAAGTTATAGATTGATTTGGTGTATCAGGACCATTTTAAAAACTAAAAATTTAGTCAGTTTGTTCTTTGAATAGTCTTTAAAAAATTAAACATCTAATGTGTATTTTAAATGTTAATTAAAAAATTTTTACATAACTTTACCTAATTTACCTATTATGCTTCTACTTAAGTTTCTCCTAAAAATAGCCTCTTAATCACTTTATTCAGGCAATTATCAGTTTGAGGGCAAAGAAATATAAACTGCTAGATTTTGATATACTCAAATAAATATTTTGATATCCTAAACCAAAATTTGGAATGATTTGGGAAGAAAGACATGAAAAAGTATTGTTTGGCTCAATATAATTGAGATGGAGATTTTAGTTAGAACTGAGTTAGGATTGAGTCTGAATTTACAGAAATGAAGACACTGAAAGCCAAGAAACTCATGCAAAAGCTGATTCGGGAACCGCTTACTCTATGACTGCTGTCTTAACAATTGATACTAACATCCTTCACTCATCTCCATCTTAAATAATTATTTTTATTTTTATTTTTTTCTGGAGATTTATCTTCTGAGCAAATACTTAGTTTAATTCACTGCATGGTATTAACTTGGACAGAAAAAGGACATTAGAAGTAAAATATGCAGAATATCAATGCAGAAGAGAACATACGTGATAGAAGGACCTCAACTAATTTCCTAAGGTGGACAAATGCTAAGTAGAGATTTATAGTCAAGAGATACTATCTAATCAAGAGAAATGGAAGAAAAACCTTAATTCCTCAAAAATGACCTATGATATATGAATATGTTTGGAAAGACACTGTTTTTCTACTATATTTAGTAATTTTCTATTAGCAACTGAACATCTGCTGTGGATTAGGTATTATTCTAGGCACTGAGCCTTCAAAGATGAATAAGTTACAGGTCTCTACTTTGGAGAAACTTAACATGTAATAGGGATGGCAAATATGTAAATAATTTATAGCACCATGTGTTTTGAGTGATAGAGGTTTGAATAAATTCAACGCTTTGTATTTTGTTATGGGAAAAGTATAGGATTCAAATTAGGATATTAGATCAAAATGGAAGTGTATTTTTTTTTTGAAAATTTTTTTTCTTCTTTATTGATTTTTACAGAGAGAAGAAGGGAGAGGGAGAGAGAGATAGAAACATCAAAGAGAGAACATCAACTGGCTGTCTCCTGCATGCCCCCCACTGGGGACTGGGCCCACAACCTGGGCATGTGCCCTGACTGGGAATCGAACTGGTGACCTCTTGATGCATGGGTTGACGCTCAACCACTGAGCCACACCAGCTGGGCTGGAAGTGTATTTTTAAAAAACACTCACGCCCAGGCCGGTATGACTCAATTGGTTTGGGCATTGTTCCATTCACCAAAAGTTTGCTGGTTGATTCCCTGGGCTGTGGGCTCCATCCCTGGTGGGGGGCGGTGCGGGACATGCAGGAGGCAGCTGATCGATGTTCCACTCTCATGTCCATGTTTCTCTCCCTAGCCCTTCCTCTCTCTCTAGCAATCAATAAAAATCTTTAAAAAATACTACTATACATGAGACATACTTTTTACTAGCCATTTAATCAGTTACTAGTTGACCCAGAGACTTAGGAATATAAATTGTTTAAATTTATGGTGTCTATCAGCTGCTTACACTGCTTCCCTACCATTCTCTTCTTAAGGAAGAAAGTAACAATATGATCATTTATTCTGAGCACCTTCTTTTACATTATTTCATTTTACTTAGTTTTGAGCTACACCAAGTTCAATAACATTTTTTAAAGCTTTCATCATCCTGTATTCTTTTTTTATATCTGACCTTGACTATACCTTTCTACTACTTGAAACTTTTTCCCCCTGGTTTTCAATGTCAGTGTGTTTTTTGGTTCCTCTCTTGCTTTTCTAACCTTACTTGGTGTCCACTTTGCTGGCATCACCTCTGCATCAGTTATCTATTGCTCTAACAAATTACCTGAAAATTTAGTGGCTTAAAATAACGAGTATTTATCATCTCATAGTTTCTGTGGGTCGGTAATACCATATCTATTTTATTCACATTCACAAAATAAACATTCAAACATTCAATAAATACTGCTTCATACATGGATGCTATTCTAGTTGTGATTCTCATCACTTCACCTAAATGGCTCCACCAACTTCTTTGCTGGCTTCCAGTATTACCTCCACGATGTTGTTAAACCCCCCTCTCTAAAGAAATTCATGCTATTGCCCCCCTAATTAATAACCAACTGTGGCCCAGCTGGCTAGTGTGGCTCAGTGGTTGAGCATCGACCCATACACCAAGAGGTCGCCGGTTTGATTCCTGGTCAGGGCACATGCCCAGGTTGTGGGCCCAATCCCCAGTTGGGGCTTGTAGGAGGCAACCAATCGATGTTCTCTCTCATTGATGTTTCTTTCTCTTTCTCTAAAATCAATAAAGAAAAAAAAGAAACTTAAAAAACAAAAAACAAAAAACACCAAGTGTGACTTTCATTGGCCTAATCTTTAAGTTTATATTGGTTTTCTTGGCATTCAGATCATTCCATATACCTATTTATTCAACCATGTTTCTTAACAAACATATACTTTACTTATACTAGTCCTTTATACCTTATACCAATCCCTAGCCCCATCCCTATGTTCAGTTTTACTTCTTGCCTTTATTACTGAGTTTCCTCCTCACCTATGATGCCTACTTTCCTTGTTTTTTCATACTTATCATTCTTTCTCTTAGCTCATGTCTCATTATGTTCCTTTCAAATAAAGCCACTTTGGCCCTTTCTGGCTCACTCTAGTTTTTATTATTTTTTTATCCTCACCCGAGGACATTTTTTTTTTTTTCTTTTTTTGCACAGATAGAGTGGGAGGGAGAGAGAGAGAGAGAGAGAGAGAGAGAGAGAGAGAAACATCGACATGAAAGGGACACATCGAGTGGTTGCCACCCGCACGACCAACCAGGGCCGGGGACAAAGTGCAACCGAGGTACATGCCCTTAGCGGGAACCGAACCCGGGTCTCTCCGGACTGCAGGCCGATGCTCTAACCGCTGAGCCAAACCGGCCAGGGCCTCACTCCAGTTTTTATTCTTTGAATTTCTTTTATACTAATGCTCAATATTAAACAGTGTATTTCTTTATTTTTAGTTTATTTGAGTTAATTTCCTTTCCCAACTAGAACTTCGGTTCTCTCGGAGCAAAATATTTTCACTTCTTGTGTCTCTATTATATTGCGCCCTATAAGTACATGTTGGTTGATTGGCTGAAAATGAGAAAACTTGACTCAGCTGTAAAACATTCTCTTTGTGGTGCTGCCGGATGAATTTTAACACCCAGAGCCATAAATGAGGATAAACTGGGACTTCAGGACTGTTTGGAACCACATTTCATCATCTTCATGAAGAAGCATTGCTGTATGAAGAGATTAATTTTTTAAAATGTTCCCTCTGGCCAACTATCAAAACTGGCTTTTAGCCTTGAACTATCAAAGCTAAAGTTTCAGTGTAGCCTGGAGCAGAACAGGTATTAAGTAGCAAGCAATTCAAGGTCTCTGATCCCTAGCCTGCTTCAGCTATGGGCCTGGCCAAGCCCTTTGGCGTAGATAAGTAGGACAAGGAATGTACTTTTATCTTCTCTCTCTTGAAAGTTTCATGGATTCAATTCACAGGGAAAGGCAATAATTAAAATTTCGTGTCAGCATCTTCTCATTCACCTAGAAAAGTTAAAGGCAGGTAATAACATTAATCAAAATACAAGTTTGGGGCTTACAGCCTGAAAATAATGTTTGGGGCTAATTGTGTTCTATAATATTCTCGGTATATTCTGCCCTGGAGAATGCCTGAGAGCCAGTGGGAACTAAAGCCTCGGTTCTTCTGGTAACTTTGACTTGAA